TTTTGACGTCATTTTCACTTCTCCTATTTTTTTCCTTTGACGATAGGATATCCCATGTGTATACTTCATCGTGTCTGTACCAAAAGGGGCTACCTTTGCAGCGTCGTTTGTTCCTCACGTGTTCGGCTTGCTCTTCATTCGGATCGTCAATGCGGTTCACTTCCTTATCATTCAGGCTCCAAAACGATCTGATCATTTCTACACTGCTTTTTATTTTACCAATTGCACTGTTCCTAATACGGTTAACATCCCTAATAGACGCTTCATCAACATTGTGATTTAAGGCACATAAATTGTTTATATCAGACACAAACGTATTATCTAGGACCCGGAAGTTATTCAAAATGTACGTGTTAATCTCCCCCACGTAACCTGTAAATAATGACGAAATGACCAGTGCGAAGCATTCCTCTACTAACAACTGCACAATTCTTACATATTTCAATTGGGTCGTTTCATGGCATGCTAGCAATGCCCGTACAATAGTGTATACGTTAAATCGGATCCAGTAAGGCGGCAGAATTCGGCTTACTCTCAACAGCAGTAACAATCCGAATATTTTTTTCTTCACTTTGATAGCATTACACAGGTTACAGATGCAGACGCACAAATTAAAAAAGAACGTGCACTTCATGCCTGCCTTAATCTTCACTGGTTGCACATTTAATATCGTTTTTAGAATTTTTTCTATAAAGTTCAATCCCTCAATGCTCATTTGTAAAAAACGCGGGTGGTAATCGACTAAGCTGCAGAAGGTGAATATGAACGATGACACATCAATCTCATTGTTGTGGCTTCCTACGTGGATCAATTTTCTGGTTCTTGTCATGACAAATCTGCTCGAAAGTATCAGCCCAATTCTTCTAACAACGTTCTTAACTATTTCTTTCAATTTGGCTTTCCACATTTCGTCGGTGCATATCATTCTGCAGTCCCTTTCAGCCTCTTGGACCATTTTGGCTCTTTCCCCCTCTGCGTCCATTCCAGCGTCGTAACTTTTTTCATTCTCATTTATTTCGACTAACATGACTAAAAAGCAATACATCAATTTTTTCATAAACACGCTGCTAGCGTTGTAGATGAAGGAATACTTGTGCAAGTGCTTCGTACATTTGCAGGTTTCGAAAGAAAATTTATTCTTCGCTTTTCTGCGATGCGGTTTATTGACTTTCTCCTTCAAAGCGGAGGTATTCTCCTTTGGGGAACTACATACCATCTTCACATTTTTATGGGCGGATTGTTCCTCTCGCATAGTGCTGGTAAGACATTTAAAAGATCCTCTCCTCTTTTTATCAACTGTGCCGCCACTCTGATTAACCCTACCCCCTCTGGGGACAGATGATCCATTCTGGGTGATAACTGCAACCTGGCCATTCTTGATGCCCTTTTGAAACTCTCCATTTTGGGAACCTACTGTAATCATGTACTGATAAAAATCGGAAATACATTTTGAATGATTAAAAATGAAAATAAAAATGGTAAGCACTACCCGGTAGCAGCTAATTCGCTGATCCTTCAAAATGCAGTAATAACACAAGTCGCCTCTGTCAAAATATTTCGTTTCCCCGTTGTCGATAAATCGTTTATATTCGTTGAAACTTTTGTTTCCTCTGAAGAATAGCTTCTTTCTCCTAGCAACAGGGGTGCCTTTATTTTTGGTGCCACCTGCATCACCATGAGGAATGCCCTCGATTTTGGGCGTCAAATTGGTCCGTAGTGCATCCTCATGTGTTAGTCTGAGCTCCTTCGTTGTTTTAAAAACAGGATGCTTCACTTCCGCAATGACGCTTAAATGATCCTTTCCACTCCTGCATTTCGAATGTAGCAATTTGTCGTTCGTTTCGCTTGGCGAATTATAAACCCTCACTTTCTTGTTCGACCCTTCATCTGTAGGGACTTCATCCTGTTCGCTCATTTTTCTCTTCGTCAAATTTGCTAACTCGTGAAAATTAAAGAGGTTGAATTTTTCTCTCTTCCTTTTTTTCCTAACACATATGCTCGCTTTCTTCCTAACGCAAAGTTTGCTTCTCATGTGCGCATTTCTCATCGGCTGCTTATAATGGTATAAGTATTTGGAATTGTTGCTCTTCACGTTATTCTTCAAAACTTTGTAGCAATAATTCAGCGTCTGTTCCAAATCGATGTGTTGTATAATACTGCCGAACGGGTCATTGGATGTCCTACCAGTCATGAGTAATTTCAGCAAGTTGACGTTTCCTCGATCTGTTTCATCCTTCTTTTCGTTCACCAGTGCAACGCCAGCATTTAATGAGCTACCCTTCTGCGAAGAGTTGTTTTTTTTGTCCTGTCCCGCATTATTACTTTTCATCTCTTTAATAATGTTCTCATTACAAATTGGGGAGGGCCCATTTTGCGTGTCATTGCATTTTTTCTCTTCCTGTACTGTGTTCACCATGCTGCTTGTTTTTCTTGTAGATGAGGATCTTGCACTTCCCCTTCTTAGCCCATTAGCTTCGACACTTTTGTTCTCAATAAGACCCTGTTGCTCCTTCGAAGTGTTAATTTTGTTGCTTCCCGGTTGGCATTTGTCTTCATTTTTCATTGGAGAGTTTCTTCTCCTCCTTTTGTTCCTATCTGAGATTTTGGAGCTACCAACAACATTGCTGTTGTCACGGGACGAGGATTTCATGCTATATAGCCGGGAGTGTTCATTCACCTCTACAAGTTGCTTCGTTATAATGGAAATAGGTTCAGAATTTAATGCATTCTCATTATTAATCATTAAGGGGTTCCCCTCTATGTTTTCACGCTGCACATCATGAAGGCACCTCTTTCTGTTGTACTGTTTTATTTGCCGCTTCAAAAAAAAACCTATCCTGAAATGCGAAATTACGCTCCTCTTGCTATTCAGACGAAAGTGGTAATTATTCATTAGTTCATTATCCTCAAAAAATTTGCAGTACAGTTTTAAAATGATAAATAAATTTCCCATGTATACTTTGTTCATATATTTATTTACTTCCGCCTCTGAGAGAACCTTTTGTGTATAAATGACACCCATTTGGATGAGAGTGATATCTGCGGGGTTCCTAATCATATCATGCAGATAGTACTTTTGTTCGTAAATTTTGTTAAAGTTGAATTGGAAGGTTATGTTTTTTCTCAATAATTTCATCAAATGAGTGAGTATACATGACGTGGTTCCATCTTTATTCTTAAAATAAAGGGACGAGGAAATGCTTCCTTTGATATGGTTATTATTCGCCATGCATATATTTTCTTCCATTGACTTCAGGGCAACTCTTATTCTGTTGAAATTTTTGGAGCACAAACAGACTAGCAAAGACTTCAAGTAAAGGTGAAACCGCTTGTTCGTGAAATAACTGATTGGAAGCTGCAGGCACATTTCACACAACACCATTTTGTACAACTTGGGTAAATCCAGGTACACATTTTCGAACCAACTTAGGACGTTCACAATTATGTTGTTCGCCTTATTCGCCCCATTCCCCTTTGTCATGGCCTTCCTCGCCTGCCCGGTGGGTTCGTGGGAAGCGTCGCGACTTCCTCCTCCGTTACTACGGAGGGCCTCGTTCTTGTGACTGACTTCCGTACTACCCATGTCTTCCTTTTCGAAGGCATTCCCATATCCATCCTTATTCTCCTGCCCACTGATGAGGCTGCTTCCCCGATTCACGACGCACTTCACTGAGCTTTCCTTCTTCAAAAGGTCCTCCATTATACCGCCATTTCCGATTACGATTCCCATTGCGCTTCCAACTACATCTCCACATCTGCTTGCCTTTTCATTCGCATCGCTATTGGCACTGATATACTTTATGCACCTCATGTAGCTCAAATTGTCCCGAAAAAAAATCTTATTCAGTGCAAAATTGACTCCAGTTTTGTTTTCCCTGTTCTCCTTCAATTCGTTGGCGCAATTTACAAAACAGATGGTCTCCAGAAGACATTTCACCAAATGGACCACTTGAATGCACTTATTATCCTTTAAAATTATGTCCAAAAAAATCTCCGAAATGGTTCTTAGTTCACTTAAAAACTGGTCATAACAATGTGCGCAGTATTTCATGACCTTCAAAAGAAAGTGGATCACTTTAATGATTAGATCCCTATATGACATGTAGCTGTTAAAAGTATTATTCATTGATAATGAATTGTAGCCCACTACGTAGTCGTTGGTCCTTATGAAGCCATCGCACAGTCTACTCCTTTTCTTCTTCGCCCTTTTACTGCCCCCCTTGTTTGAAAAAATCCCATGGCAAAATTGCCAATCGTGTAGAACACCCCTTCTGAGTGTACAATTATCAGGTGAGGACTTACTCCTCATAGGTGAATAAATCCCTTCCAGATCTTCATCTGACATGGAATTTTTTAAAATGGATCTATTCAAAATTATGCCGTTTGCACTGTTAGCAGAAATGACATATCTTTCTGCAGCGTCCCTCTTCCTTCTCTTCATTTGTGCGAACTTAAGAACATGCGGTGAAACCAGGTTGGCGGAGTTTATAATGTCCCGGTGTCCCATCCCATGAAGAAAGTAGTGCTTCTTTTTTTTCCACTTTTGATCAGAAAATTTCTC